CACACACACACACACACACACACACACACACACATAACACACATACACATACAATAATATGATATAGTAATTTAACTAAAATTAAAATTAAATGAAAGAGAAAAGAATTCAATCCCTTGCTTTAATCTCATCAGAATAACCATATGGTTATCCAATCATAGAAAAATTTTTAATTCTCTAAGTTAATTACACATTAAAAATGTAATAAGAAATAATTTTGGAAAAATTGCAATTTCAAAATGCATAACTTCATATAGCGTAATTGATATACAAAAATGAATTTCTCAAGATGCATAGGGATTAACCTGATATTATTTAATTTTTGCCGGTGAGTTTTTCAGTTTATCATTTCATCCACTCTTGAAATTCACATGCATTTGAGCGACAAGAAATAAATTGATGGTTGTTTCTTTTTGCTAAAATTTCCTCCTGTCTCTTTTTGTTAGCATTAAATTTTTTTTTTATGTCTAATTGATTTAAAAAACTTCTAATTTACAATTTCAGTAGAACTGAAAATACTACTTTTGTCAAATTTCTTAGCTTAGATCAAAAAAGATCATCCATATTAACTACTCTTATATTTTTTTTTCAAAATAAAAGTTGATATGTTTAGAAATAAATGCCAGAAAAGAAAAAAAAATAAAAAACAAATTTCACGAACCATCAAAGCAAAGAAATTTTCCTGCTACAGCTGAAAAAAATGAATACCCAAAAAAAAAGAGAAAAAAATGGATATTGCAGCTTTCCAATAAATAAAAACGATCGAAAAAAATTAATCTTGTAAGAATTTTTCCTACATTTTTAAGTTAATCTTGAAATTTTACACAACTAATGAATCATCACTTTCATATTCGTCTTCTTGCATAATTCCTATTGCTGCTGTTGTTTTAATCAGTGATGATGATAGTGTTGATGGTGCTACTATCGGTGATCGAAATTTCATATTACTACTATTTATTCTTCCATTATTATTTTTGTGATCTTTGGCCCTATTGATATGATTAGATATGCCTGATTGTGTAGCAATAACACTTGTAGCACCAGTAGCTTCCAATAATGGTGCCAATGATGGGCGACGTTTACGAAAACTGGGACAACCCTGAAAATAACATACATGATGTGTAAATTTTATTCAATACCAATTAGTAAATTAATTATCGGCTAAATTAAAATTTAAAATAGAAAATTAATATCATAATAATTTAAAATAAAAGGGATACAAAAAAAATGAATTTACTGAATAGGACAAAATTTTGCTATAATTCAGAGAAGTTATGGCATAATCCTTTCTGTAAATTTTATTTAATATCAATTAGTAAATTAATTATTGAGTAAGTTAAAATTTTAAAACATAAGGTTAATATCAGTGTATTTAGTAGCAAATAGAAAATAATAAATTACATTTAATTAT